CAAGGCTCTAAATAGATACTAAATATGTTGCCTTTTAACTCTGGCAAAATCAGTTACTTTGTAGTGAGTTAAAAATCTATTTTGTGCAACTAGTACAATATTTGGCATCCAAAAGCCCTCAAGATTCAAAAGCTTACTTTCCATTCACTCCATGCATTTGAGTATATGTTTTAGTCCTTCTGGTCTTGTTTCCTTATTTGTGAGACAGAAAGGCTACCTCACCAGGTGGCTGGATTTTGTGTGCCTGTGTGGGGGTGTGCTCACATATACGGCTGGGGACACGGGAGGTAGCCAGAAAGTTAGGATCTCCAAGGAAGAGGTGGCACTTCAGAAGCCATGCTGGTGGCTGGGAAGGAAAAGCTGGGACAGGGGAACAGTGTGGTCGGATAAGGAGGATGAAGAGGGAACTAGGAGGGACTGCTAATCAGTACACTTTCTTTGTGAGGTGATGGACATATTGTAAAGTTAGACAGCGGTGTCTGGTTGCACAGCTAATATACTATAGCCCATCAGTACACTCTAAAAGGGTGGATTTTATAGTACATGATTTTATAGTACATCAATTATTCTAATTTTTGTTTTTTGATTTTTGGAGTCTCACTCTCTTGCCCAGGCTGGGGCTGGTCTCGAACTCCTGGGCTTAAGCAGTCCTCTCACCTTGGCCTCCCAAAGTGCTGGGTTTTACAGGCATGAGCCACTGCGATCGGCCCCACTATTCTGTTATTTTTAAAAAGGATGCAGAAAACATGAATAAGGACCTCTAGAGAGGTAATGGGAAATGAGTTATTTCCACTCTTCGCTGCGGTAGAGAATCAAATTCTGATTTATAGATAAAAATTCTTAGGGAGGATGAGAACCTGTTTTTCTGACTTAAATTCTACAATTTTAGATTCCCATCATACCTCCTGAAGTTCCAAGTTGGTAAGAGATTCTCCATATTCTAGGAGATTGCTTACATGATGTTTTTTTAATGACATGTGATAGCTTTTCAGCACCTGTACTGTTTCATCCTGGTGAGAAATACTCAGCCACACCAAAGATTTCATAATCTCTATTCCCAAACCACAAGAGGCACAACCACTTAGATTTCTAATTTATTATTAAATTACATAACAAAGCTTCTTCTATACAGTCAGAAAATGCACATTTAGATGACAACAAAAATTAAGCACAAATACAATAAAATTGGTTCCAAGAAGCTATTTTAAAAGCAAAAAATTAGAAAGTGCATTTGGAAAGGAATAGCTTTTAAAGTCTGTATTGGCATTTTCATGAGGAAACATCTTCCATCAAAGTAGTGTAATGTGTGATTGAAATTGGTCTCCCTTCCTAAGGGCTCACAGGGTGGGGATGCAAATGCTTGGATAGTGATACAGGGACAGCGAGAAAGATATCTCAAGACCATCGCTCAGCTTTGTTTCAGCTTCTTATCCAATAAACATTCTTAAAATTCACTTGTTTCTTCCTCATTTTCTTTTGCCTATAAAACTTAAGGGTATGCAGGTTTATAAAGGAATAAACAAGATTAGTTTAGCAAGACCATGATGAAAAGTTCTGCATCATTTTGGGGACCAGGCTGAACAACCCCCAACCTAACAGGAGAATGAGACACAGTCACCGTAATTTTCTAAGCAGTATCACTTGTTCTTTAGTTACACTTGCCTCAAAATTCAGTGTAACACTAGACATGGCCATGTACCCCCAACTGCTTAATATTGCAGGTTAGAAAACTCAATTTCCAAAAATCATATCTAATCATATCCAAAAATCAAAAACGAGGTATCGGAAGACAAAAAGCTAGTTCAGTTCTTTTTTTTTTTTTGAGTTGGAGTCTCACTCCTTTGCTCAGGCAGGCGTGCAGTGGCACACATGCTCACAGCCACCCCAGCATTGACCTTCTGGGCTCCAGCGATCCTTCTGCCTCAGCCTTCCAAGTAGCCAGAACTACAGACGCGTTCTACCACACCTGGCTATTTTTATTTTATTTTATGGTAGAGGCGAGGTCTCGCCAAGTTGCCTGGGCTGGTCTCGAACCTGCGGGCTCAGGCCATTCACTAGCCTTGGTCTCCCAAAGTGCTGGGATTATAGACTGAGCCATCAAGCCCAGCCTAGTTCAGTTCTTTAAAATCATTTTCATCATGTTGAGATTGTTAATAGTGAAACATAAAATGGTGGGAATGCAAATCCCATGTGCATTCCCTATGAAATAGAGGCCAAGAGCCACTGCATCAAAAGGCTCAGTAAGTATATTTTTCTATTCAGATGTATTCACATCCAGTACGAAAGAACTTAGCGCAAGTATTATTTGGTTCCAGGTATAAAAAGTGCCCTCATGATGTCTCTTCTCATTGCTCGTCTCCAGTCTGTTTACTTCCATGCTTATCTGAATACCAGGCAGTATGGAAAAGGCAGAGCAATAGCAGAGAAGGAAAGTCCACTTCTGTATGAGAAAAATAAAAGGTGGGCAATGCAGGTTACAGGGAGTCCTTCAAGTATCATTAATAGTTAAAAAGAATGTAGAGATGGCCAGGATAAACTAAAGCACTTGGATATCTGAGTCTGAATTTGGGTAATGAATTTATTGAACATTTTTACTGAAGTCATCAGTACACATTAAAACAAAATCTCAGAAATACATCTTTGGAATTTTATGCTCTTTTGGTTGCCACAATTTTTCATATTTTTCAATGAAATGCAAAGTTCTGGGTGGTGACTGAAAAGATCCAAAAGGGAAAGATCATTATATAAGACAATGGGTGAAGGAGCGTAATTTCCCCTAAGAGGAAACACTTGGGAGAAGTAGAAAATTCCTTGTGAGACTTGGCTCTCACTGGTGTTAACAAGTAACTATCAGCCCCTGAGCCTAGCAACTGGTCCATAAAGAGGACAACAAAAAAGGGAGAAAGCCAAGATGGTTAAACAAAAAGCAGTTAAATGACATAAAACTGAAAGAGTTCAAGTCTGCTTCATGGAATCCAGACTGAGCCCCGTCCTATGAACTGTACACCTTGGCTTCCTTTCTACTTCTACCTGCAAGCACAGGAGCCATGAGATGAAGGGAAGAGCACTGTCTTAGCTATCTACATTTGGCCCTGGGGCACCTCACTGTGGGCTACTGGGAAGTTAGTCAGACCTATCTGACACCAACATCTACGCCAGCCTTTTCAACTTCCTTGGAAGAACTGGTTTATTCATTTTCATAAAGAAAATAACCAATATAATTCTGTTACTTCATATAAGCATAATCCTAGTGGAAAGGCTTGTCAGCCATCAAGAAGACAGTGTCTGCCTGGCTGTAGCAAGCCGGAGGAACCTGTACCCTAGTTCCACTCTCACACAAACAGCTTTAACAAATGCACCAAATAATCAGACCAGTAAAAAAGACTGGTAATGTAATTAAATAAATAACTTTATTTATGATACTTCAGATTTTATAAATGCCAACTATATAGCAACCAAAGTCCCATAAATTTTAACCGAGACACAACCACCAATCAAGGCCCTTTGAAAAATCAAAGATAATAAAGTGTCAGGGGAGAAGTTTTGTTCTCCCAGCAGAGAATTTAATAAATGAACTTACTTCCTTGATCCTCTAAGGTTCACATTGGGAAAACTTAACTTTCTTTTAAGGGCATCCCCAGTCAATGAACAGATCAATCAACCCATATTTAGAAAGTAAGCCCCATAGTTAAGAAAAATGTATCAAATACCCTTCACACCCATGATGTAACAAAACTTTGACACCAGAAAGAAAAATCTCTCAGTCTCTGTACCAGACCAAGTGTTAGTCTACCCATTAGTAAGTTCACCTGAATAACAGGACCTATATACCATGATGCAGTTAAGAATTACGTGCTAATTTCTTTTCACTCCCTGTGGCACAGCTTGAAGCCAATACTATAAATGTCATAGTAAATTCCAATGAAGGGCAGCCTTCTTTCTTGGTGAGGAGTAGAGATGCTGGAAGTCTTCAAACTATGTAGTAGTTCAGTAAGACAACACGAATTTACAGAAACTGAGAAATGGTTAAACCTGAAATGAATTCTGGTGGGTGATTTAAAATTCTGTCACTGTCCAGGGGTTGGTAATAGAAGATAGGTGCAGACAGAGCTAGATTCTGCCACATGCACCTTCTACAGTGAAAGCATTCTCTGGATGATTGGAAAAACTAAACAGATTTGGAATGAATAGATTTTCACAGAACACAGAATTACTGGTACATCAGGTAGTTCATAAACTTTTGCTCATAAGTTGTGGAGCACTTACAAATGGAATTATCTGGATAGTGACCCCTCAATACCTTTAACCTGTGGCTTGTTGAATAGATCTCATGGAAAATTCAGCAATCCCCTCTCTGTTGCCTGATGAAAGACAGTTGAGGGCACTGACAAACATTGGCTACTGGTTTCTTTTGTCATAGTAGAACTGAGATTTCATTTTCTTGAAGTAGAAAATATTAATCTAATGGAAGACATAAGCAAACAAAAAATCAAAACAATGGCTTCTTAAAAAAGAAAAGCTGTCATTCTTGATGTTATTCCAGCAATACAGTCAACACCAGTGTATTCACAATTAAAAAAAAAGAGTTAAAGACAAAGCTTTTTTGCAATGCTCTCTGTTTCAGACAACCTCAAAGCATGCTGAAGTTGGTCTATCAGCATCTCAAAGTATCTATGAAAAATGAAATTGTCCTTGAATACCAAAAGAGTTGAGGACACAGAGTTAAAAATCTATAGCACAGATTATCAAGGAAGGACTTGTGGTTTTTCATCATGAGTGTAAAATAAAAGGACAAGAATTATTTTTATTCACAACTCAGTCTGGTGGCTGAAAGAAAAGCAGTCTTTGGATACAGAGAAACTTGGTTTTCTGAAGAGTTCAGCTGTAATGCCTGGCTTGTCGTCAGGCTTCAACACTATCAGTGAAACACAAAAACTGCTTGTGATTGGTTTACTTATCTCCCAGGGACACAAAAGAAACTGAAAACTTTTTTTTTTTTAAACTAAAACCAGAAAAAATGTGTGTTAGAAAAGAGAGCACAGAAAAACTGTGGCTTCAGCTCAACCTGACCACATCACAAAGTCTGTCATCATCAGTCTTGAATTCATCCTGTTGGTCAGGCTAATTATTAGGAAAGTCAACTTCTCCCTCCTACATTTCCTTATTCCAGATTGGGGCATGAGAGTGGTGGTTGTCGAGTCCTTAGAGAAGTCCCATCAATGGAAAGCATATAGCAGCAGTAGGATGGTGCAGATTCCAATAACACCGCCCAGGATGAGTGAGTCTCGCCGCTTTCTAAGGTTGATCCTCTGGATCAGGCTGTTCACAGCAGGAAAACGATCTTTAGGAAATCTTTATTAAGGTCATATTGGGAAGAAGCCTCTTTAGTGAAAAGTCATAGGAATCACAAAAACAGAGATCAGCAGTGTCCAGAAACAGTAAATGATGGCAGGATATAGAGGGGAAGGAGATCACACTGAGGGAATTTCAAGCAAATGCACACACCAGGGCTGGGAATGTCCTGCTACTCAACGTCCCAAACTAATTCAAGTCTCCCAATCTTCTGTGTAGCACACAAATAAGTATGATGAAAAGAAAAAAAAAATTAATGGAGAGGGAGAAGAAGGTACTGACGGTAACAGCTCCCACATACTAAGGGAGTGCTGCCAGGCTACAGGTCAGGAGGGTCAGGACCAGAAGAGCTCTGCAGGACAGGGAGCACTGGCACTGCCAACTAGCTCTACCCCTACTCTGCTCCCCACAACTGCCTTCTTCTTTGCTCTCTTTTCCCCCCTCTTTCTCTCAGCAGACTGGGGAGTTCTGCCTGAGGGATTTAAAGGAATACTAGATCCTAATAAACCTCTTGGATTTAGGCAATTGGTGGGAACCAACTCTAGGGTCTGTATAATCAGGCACCGGTGAATTAAATTTTTAAATTCGTTTTGCAGCAGTAGGCAGAATATAGTAGGAAAGTGGGCTAAACTGCTCTAATTGTCCTATTTGGGGAGCATTAAAAAAAAAAAGAAAAATTTTATTCTAGTGGTTTTATAGCAGTCACAATGGCATTTTATTCAATATTTCAAAATATCTTCATACTCTTGTTTGTGTTTACACCAAAGTGCCCATCCTGCTTTGTATTTCTAGCAACGGTTTCTGATAATAGGTGCATTCTTTGTAATACAGGTATTCCATCAAGCTCAGGAAAACCAGCAACAAAAACCACACAGGATACTAGAGAGCTAGAATAATTTCCACTCCTTGCAAATTCTCATTGCGTTTTCCAGTAACAAAATTCATCAAGGCCTGTATTTATTTGTGTACGTATAGGTTATATATTGTAAAGATTAGAACAATGTCTTCTTCTAATCTTGAATTTCCCTCCATGTCTAGAATAGAGCTTTGCACACTGTAGTCATTAATGTGTTTTATGAATTTCTGAATTAATGAAAAACAGGATTATTTACAGAAACACTTCACAAGGTAAATATCACATACAAAGAAAATACTTAATTTTTCCTTGCTGAGTAAAAGCATAAACAAATCCACTGAGATGTAAATTTTTGGTATCAGAAACCCTGAACTGTTCAGTTTTCTTTTAGGGAACCACCCCTCTGCCTTTCTATAATAATCTAGTTCATCCATGTAGCAGGTATGGCTGACCCTATCCTCTGTCATCAGGTATACATATCAAGTCAGGATTTGCCAGGAAGAATATTCCTTCCCCTTGGACAATGACTGAGTTAGGAAAGGGCAGGGACTCAAGTTGGGACAGCCACAGTCCTCTTTAGGGTTTTTGTGACAGCTGTTAGAAAAAAACACCCTTTTTCCATAAAGATTTTTGAGCTGGTATTACAGCTATCTCTATCACCATGAGGAGAGAGCCTGCCTGGAAGAGAGGATAACAGAAAAGGTGGGATAAGAGATGGAAAAGAGAGGGAAAAAAGAAAAGAAAGGCAGATCCTATTTGTTGATGATATGATCCTATACTTCAAAAACCCAAGAGAATCTATCTGTCAAAAACCTGCTTTCATTGATAAAGGACTTTGGCAAAGTCTCGGAGTACCAAATAAATGTGCAAAAGACAGCTGCATTCTTATATACCAACAAAAAGCAGGCAGAGAACCAAATAAAAAGCACAATCTCATTCACAACAGCTACACACACACACACACACACACACACACACACACACACACACACACACACACACACTTTGGCATCTTCCTAACCAGAAAAGTGAGATCTTTACAATGAAAATTACAAAACACTGCTCAAAGAATCCAAGAAGACATAAACAAATGGAAAAATATTCCATGCTCATGGACAGGAAGGACCAACATTGTTAAGATGTTCATCCTACCAAAGACAATCTACAAATTCACCGCAATACCTATTAAATTACCAACACCATTCTTCTTGGACCTGGAAATGTCAATACAGAAGTTCACACAGAAACATAAATGACCACGAATAGCCAAAACAATCCTCAGGAAAGAAAACAAAGTGGAAGGTATCATACTTCCAGACTTTAAACTTTACTATAAGGCTACAATAATAAAAAAAGCCTGGTATTGGTATAAGAATAGGCATATGGATCAATGGAACAGGATAGAGATTCCGGAAGCAAAATCTCAATTTCTCAACCAACTCATCTTCGACAAAGCCTCCAACAACAACCACTGAGGAGAGATGAACCTGTTCAGTTAATGATATTGGGAAAACTGATTGACCACATGCAGAAGATTGAAACAGGACCCCTACCTATCATCATACACAAAAATCAGCTCTAAATGGATCATAGTCCTAAACGTAAAACCTCAAACTATAAGAATCTTAGAAAATGCAGGAGACACCCTTATGGAAATTGGAACTGGCAACCAATTCCTAATCAAACACCAAGTGTCCATGCCATAAGAGATAAGACAGACAAGTGGGACCTCAACAAACTTAAAAGCTTCTGCAAAACAAAAGAAACAATCAAGAGAGTGGGGAGACAGTCCACAGAATGGGAAAAAATATTTGCCACTGTATATCTGACAAAGGCCTTAACATCCAGGAACTACAAGGAACTCAAATGTGCCGAAAGGAAAAAAGCAAACAGCTCCATTAAAAGGTGGGCAAAAGACATTAACAGATACTTCTCAAAAGAAGATATATGGGCAGCCAACCAACACATGAAACAGTGCTCAGACTCATTAATCATCAGAGAAATGCAAATCAAAACCATACTAAGATACTTCCTACCCCAGTAAGAATGGTCATCATTAATAAAACAATAACAGATGCTGGCAAGGATGCGAAGAAGGAACGCTTCTACACCACTGGTGGGTATGCAAACTAGTGCAGCCTCTTTGGAAAACAGTGTGGCTAGAGGGTAGTGGTACGCCCACAGCCACCGCAGCCTCGACCTGCTGGGCTCTGGTGATCCTTCTGCCTCAGACTTCCAAGTAACTGGAACTACAGGTGTGAGCTATCATGCTCGGCTAATTTTTTATTTACTGTAGAGTCGAGGTCTCACCAAGTTGTCTGGGCTGGTTTTGAATCAGTGGATTGCAGACTCAGGCAATCCAGTCGCCTTGGCCTCCCAAAGTGTTCGGATTACAGGCTGAGCCACTGAGCCTGGCCCAGTGTGGCGATTTCTACAAGAACGACATTGACCTTGCATATGACCCAGCAATCCCCCTACTGGGAATAAACCTGAAGGAACTCAAATCATTCTACAAAAAAGATACCTGCACACGCATGTTTATTGCAGCACTATTCACAATAGCAAAACATGGAACCAACTGTGCTGCCCATTGAAACTGTACTGGATTAAAAAAATGTGGTACATATACACAATGGAATATTACAAAGTCATAAAGAAGGACAAGCATATGGACTTTGCAGCAACTTGGATGGATTTAGAGTCTATCATACTCAGTGATCGATCACAGAAACAAATAACAGAGTACCACATGTTCTCACTCATAAGTGGATCCTGAACATTTATTATAATACTGTAAGAAAGGGATTGGCAGTAGCAGTATACTGCTGGGGTGGGGGCAGGGGAGAGACACAACACCAATAAGGGTATCTGATCTCAAACCAGGCAAAGTGGGGATCAACGGGAGGCTCAAACTTTACCTGTATGATGACCACTTGTATACCTAACCCTGAATTGTATCCCACATCTTTAAAATAAAAAATAAAAAAAAGAAGGAAACTCCATTAAAAATTTAAAAAATAAAATGCTTGCCTTCTCAGAGTAAATAAAATGCTTCAGCATGATAGGCCTATCAGTTTCCCTAGTGGGTTTCTTGGAAGTATTAGTAATCTTAATTTAAATTGGGAAACTGAAAAATTGACAAGTAGAGATCATAACAAGTAGAGAATTTATCCCAGATTCAGCCTGTGCATAGTCTCAATACCCTATCCGCAGCTACCACTCATCCACATATGAGGCTGTCTTCTTCTGCCATAGATTTACTCTCCAAATTGGAAAAATAAAAAAGCATATACTTTGTTATATTTAGGTAAAAAGTATACACTGTGGAGTTCTAACACGGATTAAAGAGCTTTTACAAATGTAAAATACTTTTGTGAAAAATTTAAAAATTCACTAAAGAGCTACTACATGGTTCTAAACTTTCACAAAGTAGGACTACATGTTATATTCATATTATGTGATTACTGGAGGGTTCTACTGCTATCGATGATGGCAACCTGCCAAACACACATACACACACACCCCTACCTCCCCCCTCCCCCCAACATGGATTTCAAATGGTCAGAAAGGATACTGGCCAAAGTGTTCATTCTGCTATGAATTGACTTCAACATTCCTCTCTGTGAAGTCATATTTTCTTTTGTTGCCATCGCAATGCTGCAAGGGTAAGAAAGAGACAACAATTAGAGTGGCATTTAAGATTACCCTGCATGGGTCCATCATACCCTTAAAAACGAACAGAAAACTACAGTAAGCAACATCATCTTTAAAAGCACTAAGCAGGAAATAAAGAGAAACATTACTTCCTAAGCACCTTCCCATTGTTCTTTTTCTGTATGATCCCACTGCTACCCTTTGATTTTTTTTTGAGTTGGAGTCTTACTCTGTCACCCAGACTGCAGTGCAGTGGTCGCTCCCGGCCAACGCAGCCTCGAACTGCTGGGCTCCGGCGATCCTTCCGCCTCAGCCTTCCAAGGAGCTGGAACTACAGGCATGCGCTACCATGCCTTGCTAATTTTTGATTTATTGTAGAGATGAGGTCTCACCAAGTTGCCCAGGCGGGTCTCAAACCCGCGGGCTCAGGCAATTCACTCATCTCAGCCTCCCAAAGGCGTGGGATTACAGGCTGAGCCACTGAGCCTGGCCATCCTTTGATTTTTAAATACAAGGCAGTAGGCCATTTCCCATGAAGTAAGACATTATCAGACAAATCATATATTACAAAAGTTTTTTATAGTAGTTTTAAAAGAGGCCAGTTATTAAAATATTCTTAATCAGAAAAAACTATTGAGAGGGAAGTAGAAATTTATTTTAAATCATAAAAATAGAATAAGAGTAAAATATAAAATATTCATATGCAACCAGCCCTCAAATTATGAAGAGCATAATGTCCCAAAATTCTACCTGAGAACCAACCAGGCAGATTTTGGGATATGCACACAACAGGATGCTGGGTTTCCAAGCTACCTGACAAAGGTCACAGATTCATTACGCATGACCGAGAGAAGGGAAAAGTCACTCTGTAGAATAAAGTCTTTTTCATGTGATTACTTTGATGTCCTGCTGAAAAGAATCTGAGTTGCCGGGCTCGGTGGCTCAGCCAGTAATCCCGCGCCTTTGGGAGGCTGAGGTGAGTGGATTGCCTGAGCTCGCGGGTTCGAGACACGCCTGGGCAGCGAGACCTCATCTCTACAATAAATAAAAAAATCAGCTGGGCGTGGTAGCGCATGCCTGTAATTCCGGCTACTTGGAAGGCTGAGGCGGAAGGATCGCCGGGGCCCAGCAGATCGAGGTTGCGGTGGCCGGGAGTGGCCACTGCACTCCAGTTTGGGCGACAGAGTGAGACTCCAACTCAAAAAAAAAAAAAGAATCTGAGTTAATATCTCTTTGCTATTACTTCAGATTATTCATTTTCCTGTCTTATCTCTCTGGACATTAGAGTCCTAGAGGGCAGGGTCAGTAACCACTTTGATATGTAACACACAGGGGAGTGCTCTAGATATTGACATTACAAAAAGCAATAGAAAATGGAATGCTGTTGAGCTATTCTGAAAATATCTAAAACATTAAAAAAAAAAAGCAATAGACATTGAGATTCTGGGAAGATGGTGGTCAGTGTACAAATTCTTGACTTCATCTTTGGCCCATCTTCCTGTTTGAAGTCACACAAGAGCAGACATACTGGGGAGGGTCCACCTGAGGCCCTAATTTCCCTTGAGATCTCTAGGGAAAAAAGCCAGGTGAAGGGCTACACTCTCTCAAGAAAGGAGAGAAGCAGGGAAATCATGGTAGGGAAGCCTTGATTATTCTTCAAGCTTGGGGCAAAGATTCAGATTTCATGGCTTCCTGAGGAACTCAGGAAGTGGAAGACTATGGATCTGCATGTGTAAGGGCTGCAGCAAAGAACTGACCTGCTCCCAGTCCCTACATCTGGGAATGGACTGCTACCAATAGCCAGAGATTTACAAGCAGAGTGCTTAGAGTCTTGCAGCTGATGTGATGCCCAGCCTCTATAGGGAAAAGTTGCTGGAACATCCATCACACATGGTATGCCACTGCTGAAGAGTCTCTACTAGCTGGATTCATCTGGGAGCTGAGTGAACACATTTTTGGACAGGAAAGACCCCAGAGAATAAGCCACCATGCGTCTTAGGGGAAATGCAAGAGGGAGTGTGCGAAGCAAATGACAAACTAATCAAAACTTTAATTTCAAGATTTGAGAAAGCTAAAAAGAAACAAAAGTGTGTAAGGTTGAACATCCTTAATATGAAAACTGGAAATCCTAAACACTTCTGGTCCCAAGCATTTTGGATTAGAGACATTCAATCTGTGAAAGGGTGTCTATTGAAGCATTTTTAAATAAACAACAACAAACACACACATACGAACCCCCCAAAACTAGAAACAACATTTGATTGGTATAATAGATTTGGTATAACCATATTATGCAATAGTAATTGGTTATTAAAAGCAATGATTTAGTTTTATTTCTATTAACCTGAGGGGATATTGATGATGTATTGAGTGATTAACAAGTCACAACATATGTAGAGTATGAATTCTCTTATATTTTCAGAAACAAACATCTTTGTGTATGTTTCTATGACAGTGAGAAAGGTATTAGAAAGATACACAACTGCCAGTTAATATAAGTTAGTTCTGGGGATAAGAATGAAGGGGAACTACCAGGGAATTAACTTTTTCTTTACACATTTTAGAATTATTTAAGTAGCTGCAGTAGGAATATTGTACTTTTACAATATACAAATGTCTAATGAAGACAATTTAAAAAATTTCACTTGAGTAAGAAATGTTAATAACATTAGTAATTCCATACATACAACAAATTCACATGGGCACTAGGATTTGGATCACTTTCATCTGAAGTCAGCCAGTTACTGCTGCAAATTTAGAAAATGACAAATCCAGGCCGAGTGCGGTGGCTCAAGCCTGTAATCCCAACACTTTGGGAGGCCAAGGCGAGAGGACTGCCTGATCCCAGGGGTTCGAGACCAGCCTGGGCAACTTGGCGAGACCTCATCTCTACAGTAAATCAAAAAAATTAGCTGAGCATGGTGGTGCATGTCTGTAGTTCCAGCTACTTGAAAGACTGAGACAGAAGGATCACTTGAGCCCAGCAGGTTGAGGATACGGTAGTCTTGAATGTGCCATGTGCTCCAGCCTGGGTGACAGAGTGAGATTCAAACTCAAAAAAAAAAAAAAAAAGAAAATGACAAGTCCTAGGAAACTGAACCCTCTTCTTGGGATCCCGATATTCTCAGGTGTTTCAATGCTGACAACCTAATCTTCCCAATACTTTTAGGCCTATTATAGAAACATACCTGTTCATGTGGAAATACTATTGTCTGACATTTTTGGTGCTCACTCTAGTTCCACCTTTTAGTAAGTTGGCAAGAAATTTGGATAAAATGTGAAAATGACATTTTGGAATAAATTTAAATGGGTAAAACCAACCCAAACAAACACACTAGCAGCTCCAAATTTTCTACTGTTATTTACCTCAGTGCCACTCTAAGTCAAGTAATAATTAGTGAAAGTTTTCCCCACATACTGGGGAAAAAGCTCAAGAATTGAAGGGACCAGGTATTTCTGAAGGCAGACTTGTAGAATAGGATTAAAAATAGAGATTTGGCCAGGTGCGGTGGCTCAAGCTTGTAATCCCAGCACTTTGGGAGGCCAAGGTGAGAGGACTGCCTGAGCCCATGGTGAAGACCAGCCTGGGCAACATGGTGAGACCTCATCTCTAGAAAAAAATTTTAAAAAATAGCTGGGCATGGTAGTGGGCGCCTATATTTCTGGCTACTTGGAAGGTTGAGGCGGAAGGATCACCAGAGCCCAGCAGGTTGATGCTGGGGTGGCTGTGAGTGTGCCACTGCATTCTAGCCTGGGCGACAGAGTGAGACTCCTACTAAAAAAAAAAAAAAAAATAGGGATTGATGGAAATTTGTACAAGGAGTTGCCAGACCTCTAACTTGCCTTTCTTAATCCATGCAGCCAAGTAACTGCCCCTAGTCCAATAGAAGACCTAGCCCAGAAAAAGAGACCTAGGGATCTGACAATGTGAAATCCCCAATGGAACAGTCAGTTTTCTACCTGATTATGTACTTGTGAGTCCTGCCACTCAGCAAGTCCCACTACCTGTGTGCACAGAATGAGTTTCCAAAGGTTGGATTTTGGAACCACATTCCTAAGTATGAAGAAACAGTCAATAATCACCAGACATTTGAGGAGGACCTCTAACATAAAAGGCAGAGATTCAAACCAACCAACCAGCAAACAGAAAAGAGTCTGAGGAAGCAGAGGCCATAAAGAACGCTCAATAAACTAAAAAATAAAATTACATTTAATGTCTTCAGAGAGAAAAGATTATCACATTCATAAAACACACATATATAAGCATGTAGGTATGTCTCTGTCCCTCAGGAAAGAGCTCATGTAAGTAAAAAAAACAAAAAAGAGAGTAGAAGTAAAAATGTAACAGGTGAATTGGAAGGATAAATTGAGTAAATCTCCTAGAAAGTTGAACACAAAGATGGAAAAGGAAAAAAATGGAAAACAGAAAAGGCAAGAAAGGATCAATTCAGAAGGCTCAACATTCAATATTTTTAGATTTTTAAAAATAAACAGAAAAATGAGGGAAGAAAGTGATAAATGACATAAGAAAATTTCCCAGAACGAAGTTTAATTTCCAGAGGTTCCAGATAATAAGAGCCCACCCAATGCCCTGTGCAATGGATTGAAAAAGATACATGCTAGGCAACCTTTCCGGTTCCCTCTCGTTCTGGGAGCTTTTCTGTCCTCTCAATAAATTCTACTTAAAAAAAAAAATGCATGCTGAGCTCATCATAGTGAAATTGAAATAAAAAAAAAAAAAATCAAAAAAGGGATGATCCTAAAGGTTTTCAAAGGAAAAAAGTATATCATTTACAAAGTATCAGAAATTTTAATTGAGATAATAGATTTTAAATGGCATTGGACTTTAAAGTAATACTGAAAACAATGCCTTCAGAAATTTCCAAATTATTTCCAACCTAGAATTCTATATCTTAGCTAAACAATCAATCAAGAATATGGGAAGAAAAAAAGACTTTTTCTAGATGTGGACAGCTCAAAATATTTATCTCCTATTCTTTCTCAGAAGTTACTAAAGAACTTGGTGCAGCATAATGAGGGAATAAAATAGGAAAGTGTAAGACATAAATCCCAACAACCAGGTAATCCAATAAAGAAGATTATTTTAGGATAATGGAGAAAGGACATTGCAGGATCAGAACAGTGTGGCAGGAATAGAGAACAGTCAAGACTGGAGCAGAAGGATGGAGTAAGATCAACTGTAAAATGCACTGGATTTTAGATCCCCAAACCAGGAGCATAAGAACTAACAACTTTCTTTGTGTCATTTAATTATAATTTTTCAGCTTAAGTGAATGTCTATGACAGAATATAACACATTTAAAATGTGGTTGACTTTTTACAAGGTATTTAAAATTAGGTATTATGGTCCTTTTATAAAGTAACAGAATTTTTTTTTTTTTTTTGAGTTGGAGTCTCACTCTGTCACCCAGACTGGAGTACAGTGGCCGCTCCCGGCCACCGCAGCCTCGCCTGCTGGGCTCCGGTAATCCTTCCACTTCAACCTTCCAAGTAGCTGGAACTACAGGCGCGCACTACCATGCCCGACTAATTTTTTTATTTATTGTAGAGATGAGGTCTTGCCAAGTTGCCCAGGTGGGTCACGAACCCGCGGGCTCAGGCAATCCACTCACCTTGGCCTCCCAAAAGCGCTGGGATTACAGGCTGAGTCACCTAGCCCGGCAAAGTAACAGAATTTATGGCCAGGCGCATTGGCTCATGTTTGTAATTCCAGTAGCTTGGAGGCCAAGGCAGGAGAATTCCTTGAGTCCAGGAGCTTGAGATCAGCCTAGGCAACATAGCAAGACCTCGTCGCTACACAAAAAATAAAAAATTATCCTGGCATGGTGGTGTGCGCCTATAGTCCCAGCTACTTAGAAGGCTGAGGTGGAAGGATCACCTGAGCCCAGGAGGTTGAGGCTGTGGTGAGCTGTGACTGTGCCACTGCACTCCAGCCTGGGTGACAGAGTGAGACCCTAAAAAAAAAAAAAAAAGTAACAATTCAAATCTAGGCTGAGCAAATTGAGGCCAATCTTTGAACCATACTTGTATATGCCTCTTTTTTCAACTGGGACTATCATCATCTCCTATATATTTTGACTCACAAGTGAAATGAAAAAATAATTTCTGCAAAGCACTTTGTATTCCTTGGAGAATGGACATTATCCTCATACATTATGTTGATTTCCAGTACCACATAAAGTATATCTAGATATATTTTCCCATCTCAATCTATGATTTAGAGTCAAGTTGAGTGAAATCTAGGCTGTTATTTCAAGAGTCAAATGCTCAGAGGCAAATTATAAGCTCCAAATAATATCTAATGCTTTTAAAATGATAAATCATTGATGTGCTTACTGGAACTTCAACTTTCTTACCTGTTTTGTGAATTAAACTCAGTCACATTTTTTCAACAACAAATAATACTAGTTATACATTTAAAGCTTAGGAATAAGTTTATAAATATCAAAAATATTAGTTCTTTTCAATAAATTGATGTCAGGGTCTATATTCAGTCATGCATATATTTCACAAATGTATCTTCAAAACAAAAAGGTAAATTTTATATACAGAATATGCAATTATCATTTGACACTTAAATGTTATAGTATACATAAGAAATCATAACTAGCTTTGTATTAGTGAAATTTCATATGTGATACTTATTATTTTTTCATTATTTTGAAATAAAGGGAAATATTAAAATAAAGGATCTTCTAATAATATCTTATTTGTTTATTTATTTGGAGATGAGGTCTGGGCTGGAGTGCAGTGGCACAATCATAGGTGCAGCCTCCAACTCCTAGGCTCAAGTGATCCTCCCACCTCAGTCTCCTGGTTAGCTGGGAATACAGAAATGTGCCGTCATGTCTAGCTAATTTTTAAAGTTTTTTTTGTAGCGATTGGGTCTTGCTATGTTGCCCAGGATGGTTTCAAACTTCTGGGGTCAAGCAATCCTCCCACCTCGGCCTCCCAAAGTGCTGGGATTACAGGCATGAGTCACTTACTACATCTAGTCTAACATGTTTTTAAACTAGCAATATACTGTAATAAAGGCAATAATTCAATGGTTCCCAAATGTTCTCCTATCCTACGAGGTACCTCAAAATTTCATACTCATATCACTAGCTCTATCAGCTCTGAACTGAAAACTAAGTAGGGAAGCCTGGTCCTAGAAGGCCAGATAGAAAAAGGGGCAATAAAGGGAAGGAAAAGAAAAGAAAAAAGATTATAGGGAAACTTAAAATTTCTGGCAAAACGTGATCAGACTTCTCAAGCTGATGAAAAGGGAGGGGTTACGAGGGAGATACTGCAGTCAACAATTAGGTAATTCGGGCCGGGCACGGTGGCTCACACCTGTAATCCCAGCACTTTGGGAGGCAGAGGTGAGAGGGTTGCTAAGCCCAGGGGATCAAGACCAGCCTGGGCAACATAACATGGTGAGATCTCGTCACTACAATAAATCAAAAAAGTAGTTGGGTGTGGTAGTGCACGCCTGTGGTTCCAGCTACTTGGAAAGCAGAGGCAGAAGGATCGCCTGAGCCCAGCAGGTAGAGGCTGCGATGGCCGTGAGCAGCTGGGTGACAGAATGAGACTCTTACTCAAAAAAAAAAAAAGGGTAATACGGCAAAAATTTTGTTCAGATGGAAGATACAGTGCATACAATCTAAACAAAAAAATCAAGGCATGATAATGGCATATTATTATGAAACATTACAATATATTAAAATTACTATTAAATAATTATGGGAACATATTATAATTCATTGAATAAAAGAATTCATATCAATATAAACAAATATTTAGGAAATGAATGTTGAAATACTTAGGAATAAAGAGGCATCATGTCTGCAACTTATTTTTAAGTAGTTCAGAAAAGAAACTATGAAAAAGCAAATGTGGCAAAATATTAACCCCTTTGTGGAAGCTAAATGGTATATGGGACTTTTTTGTACTACTGAAATTTTTTGAAATCTGAAAGGATATTAAAATAAAAAGTTTAAAGAAAGAAAAGGATTGGTATTAATAATACAGCTACCATTTCCAGATTACCTAGTATCAGCTAGGCACTGTACTAGGCATTTTTTTCACATTATCTTTTTTTGGTCCATAGAGATGGTCTATGTTGCCCAGGCTGGTCTTGAACTCCGAATCTTAAGTGATCCTCCTGCCTCAGCTTCCCAAGAGCTGGGATTACAGGCGGAAGCCATCATGCCCAATCCTCACATTATCTTTAATCTTCACAACAATCTTGCAGGATAGGTATTACCATCAATCCCATGTTTTTAAACAGATAAGAAAACAAAGGCTCCAAGAAGTTAAAGGGAACAGAGACCTAATAAGTAGCACAGCCAGATTTCAAACCATATCAGACCCCAAAGCTTGTATTCTTTTTACCATGTGGTAAATATAATAGTAGTTTAGATGGAGCTCTGTTTCTAGGGTTAGATTCAGGTTTGAGGATTTGAATACTCAATATCATTTATTAGTTATGTGACCATAAGCAAATTACCTAATTTCTTTTGGTTTTGGAGATAATACCTCATGGGTTATTGAGAAAGTTAAATAAAATAAAACATGCAAAACACTAAGGTCCGTGCTAAGGATGCGTGTTGTTTCCAAGTACTTCATTCTGCCTTTCCCAAAAAACAATGCTTTATATATTGCTAAATTCTAAAAACAACGCTTTATATATTGCTAAATTCTAAAGGAGACTATACCTTGTTAATTTACTTTTTGCTGTCAAAATAAATGTTTAAAAGTTCACCAAACCTAGAAAACTAAACAGTTCAAACCAAGAAATAAATGTTCCTTAATTTAAGCAAGGAATGAGTTCAATGTTATTATAGATAATGTTAAGTATTACTGCAGTAGATTTTCTATAGCTCTTGTCTACATAAATGGTATAAAAATGACATTTATCAAATCACACAAGATTGTTTTCCATTAATAACTGAGTTTAAAAAGACTGAGGCTGAATTAACTAGAAAAATTAGCGTAAGTAAAATAGCCTGATTTCTGTAACTCTGGAAATAACTATTTTGAGTTTTAAACATCTCTTACAAGGGAAGGACATAATAAAAATACATTACCATTTAGTAAAAATTCCATCTTCTTAAAAGAGGATGAATTGACCTTAGTTATAGGGTTAACCTGATATGTTCATTAAATTTATGTGCAAACAAACAAAACCCAGCAAAGCGAAACAAAAAATTATTCCTACCTTATTGTCTCTTCTATCAGACGATCTGAGCTGCAAATAAAAAGAAAGTTCAAATTCTGGAATTATTAAATGCACATTTAGAACTTGTACTTAATTCTTGTACACTTATAAGCTTTACAGTCATTTACATATAACTAGATTTTTGAAAGCATCTGGAGAAAATTCTGGACTCTGAAACAAATTTATCTACATAGAATATATGAAATTTTGTTACTTCTGTTAGCTTAAATCTATTTTTTCCACAGCAGAGATACTTGATGACTAGTCAGAACAGTTTTAATGATAGCATAAAGAAATGAAACTTCCCCTTTAATCTAGATAGCTCCAAGTTGTCACCGCCATCTATTCAGAACTTAAGAATTACAACCAACTTGCTGAGACAGGATAGGCATATATAATTCTGATGCCTCTAAGTAGTAATTATTTATACCTTAAAGTTCCTTCTTTTCTGGGAGGCTTTTTTTTTTTAAAGAAACTAATGCAAATCTCGGATTCCTAAACTTTAGAATTCAAGGTATACCAAATGCACCTTGATCTGTAAACTGTTTGCCTTTATGCATCACATATTGGGAATAAAAGAGGCAAACAAACAAAGTCATTTTAGGGAAAAATGTATAGATGAAGTTTGGTAAAGGGCTAGCCATACAGCAGAAGTAGGAAAACAAACTTCAAGATATCTGTATCCCTTTGGCACTGTGTGAGGTATACAGTAGACATTCTTTCCTACAGAATCTCTAAATTCACTCTATAAAATAATGAGTTGCAGTTTCATTATGAAGTAGCAGACTAAGAGATCTAAGTTAATGAATGAATTAGGGAATAAAGACAAGGTTCAAAAATGTTATAAATACCTTACATAAATCCTGTGATAAACATTTCAAGAATTACAAAGATGGTGGTAAAAATCCTGGCTGTTTACGTGCTGGATCTATCATTTATTAGCTACCAACATTAGGCAAGTTTCTCTGTGTCCTAGTTTTCACATCTGTAAACTGGCAATGATGATAAAACCTATGTGTTCAGAGAATTAAGGGGTTTATATATATATACACAGTGATAGATCAGTGCCTGGCACATAGCAGGCACTGTTTTTTGCTATTATTACAGTAGTTTCTCAGTAACTACTGACTGATTCTGAGTCTATATATAAAATTGATATAAATTTTCAGATAAATCCACTATTCTATTGATTATTTAGTATGCAATTATTCTTTGAACAAATGTGCATAGAATTACTCCTGAAGAGCTTTAAGTCAGATAGGGCCTATAAATGTACGGCACTATTCTTGGCAGATCTTACAATGCAGATAGAGAAGACACATGCCAACAGGCGTCTTAGTAAAGTGGTCAAAAGGTCACAAAAGAGGGAGTGGTTAACTAGGGTTAACATCTTCTTGTTCAACACAATGATTTGGTTGACTGTCCTTATTAGGGTCACTTAGCACATTAAAGGGCATAAAAATAAGATATTTCAAAAACTAGGCAGCATAACATGAAAATAAACAATTCTATTGCCAAACTTAACAAACAAGTTTTGTGTTAACAGCCTTAATGAAGATAAAATAAATAAAAGAAATGATTAAATTAATTCTCAAAGCGCAATCTATTAATTTGCTAATTTTGTTAAGAATAAGGATAGCTAATACTTACAGTGAGTTTATTATGAGCCATGTCTTGCCCTATATGCTTTACTTGTTTTAACTTCACCCTCACAATTCTATGAGATTGATTCTACCATTCTCTTCATTTACAAAAAACATAATTAAGAGATTTCTCTGTAGCATGTGATGCTGTTTGATAACATTTTACCCACAGTAGAACTTCTTTCAAAACTGGAATCAACCCTCTCAAACCCTGCAGCTTCTTTATCAACCAAGTTCATGTGATATTCTAAATCCTTCTCATTTTGACAATGTTCATATAGCATCCTCACCAGGAAGGTTCCACCTCAAGAAACCACTATTTTTGCTCATCCATGAGATGCAACTCTTCATCTGTAAAAGTTGGATCATGAGATCGCAGCAGTTCAGTCACATCTTCAGTCTATACTTCTAATTCTCTTGCTATTTCTACCACATCTGCAACTGCTTTCTACTGAAGTCTTGAACCCTTCAAAGCCATCATTGAGGGGTGAAATCAACTTCTTCCAAACTCCTGTTAATGTTAATATTTTGACCTCCACAAATGTTCTTAATGGAATCTAGAAGGTTTTCAATTTACTTTGCTCAGATCCATCAGATGAATCACTATCGATGGCACTTTAGATTTATAAAATCCATTTCTTAAATAAAAAGACTTGAAAGTTTTAGTGACTCCTTGACCCATGGACTGCAGAATGGGTGCTGTGTTAGCAGGCATGAAAACAATATTCACTTCCTTATACATCTCCATCAGAGCTCTTGGGTGACCAAGTACATTGTCAGAAAATAGTAATATTTTAAATCTTTTTTTCTGAGCAGCAGGTCTCTGCAGTGGGCTTAAAATATTAAGCAAACCATGCTGTAAGCAGATGTACTGTCACCCAGGTTTTATTCTTCCACCATTACTATGGCACAGAAAGAACAAACTGAACATAATTCTTTAAATTTTTGTAGAGACAGGGTCTCACTGTGTGGCCGAGGCTGGTCTCGGACTCCTGGTCTCAAGTAAGCCTCTCACCTTGGCCTCCCAAAGTACTAGGATTACAGGCGTGAACCTGTGTTCCCATCCTAAGAAAACTAAAATTATTATCCCAAATATCCTACCCAACAGAGGAAGGGGTTTTTCCTCTCTAATGTTAAGTTCTCTTAAACATTAGTCACTTTCTTTTATTAAAAGTTTTAAGATATACTCTAAGGCACATTTCAAAATACAACATATATGAATACCCAGGATTCATGATCAGAATGGATCTTCATTTTATAGGAAGATGCTGACATCAGCTTAACCATGCATTTGGCACATCAGAGAGTTACAGAAAGCCACACACAGGTATTTCACATACATTCCCCACCGTGCAGCGGCATAACAAACAAACAAACAATCAAACAACAGTGATTTAAAACTTCTTTTCAAGTTGCCAGAAGTCTCCAAGTCCTTATTCATTTGGCTAGGACCAAATAAACGGAATAAAAGCCATTCACTAAAAAAGAATCCTGGACAGTGTGCACAGAAGTCAACAACAGGGTGTCTCTATAAAGATGGTATACTCTAGTAAATATTGAATCTAAAATTATTTCCTTTTGGGGTAAAATATATAATTAAGTAGAATGATCTTTCTTAAACAAGTACTTGATAACAGCCTAGAGGCATTCTATAAAGTCATCTAGAACCTGTAATTAAGCAACAAATTTCTGCTTCTCTCAAGACCAATTTAACTAGCTGAAAACAATGAGCTAATTTCATCACCAATTATTGTACCCACGAATGACTAAAGCCACATTTAAATAATAATTCTCTTTTAAAAAACAATTTATGGGCAATCCTCTCAGATCCCCTCCCACTGTGGGAGCTTTTCTGTCCTCTTAATAAATCCTGCTTTCAAAAAACAAAACAAAACAACAAACACTGCAACTGGCACAAATTTCAAGAGTAAAAATGTGATTTCAAGCATATATTTTAAAGTAATTTAAACCAACAAAATGTAAGAAATTGGCAAAAATCACTTAGATAATACCTAATTAAAATCCTTTCAAAAGATAGGTAAATAAGCAAATAATAAACAAGTGAGTAAGAAGTAAATAAGAAAATAAGCAAACAAGCACATAATAAATAAAATTTAAGAACTGATCCCTTTGTAAGCCATGATAATTGATGAGGTTGTCATCAAAAATTAGGTCATTAATATCAAGCATTGTGATGATACAGTCTTTTACTTAAAGTTAACAAGAGAGACCCTTAAGGTCTAAGTCTTATTTATTTCTACCTGCTGGGCTCAGGCGATCCTTCTGCCTCAGCCTTCCAAGTTTAAAAAAAAAAGTCTAAGTCTTATTTATTTCTATATAACTATCTCTTAAAATATGTTAACTGAACACAATTAAGCTGCAGTAAGATACATAATGCTGTTTTAGTGCTAAATAATTTTTTGTTTTGTTTTGAGTCAGGGTCTAAGTCACCCAGGCCAGAGTGCAGTGGCATGATCAGGGCTCACCACAGCCTCAACCTCCTGGGTACCAGCAATCCTTTCATCTCAGCCTCCCTAGTAGCTGGATCTATAGAAATGTGCCACCATACTTGGTTAATTTTTTATTTTTGTAGAGACAAGGTCTCACTATGTCCTAGGCTGGTCTCGAACTCCTGGGCTCAAGCAATCCTTCCATCTCGGCCTCCCAAAGTGTTGGGAATACAGACATGAGCCACTGCAACCAGCCTAGTGCTAAAAAATTTTTATTTTACAGATAACATTTGAAAAATACAGAATAACAAAGGTGAAAGTAGTAACCATCTGTAACCTCTCTTCCATTAACATTAACATTGTGGCATATTTGAGTCTGGGTAGACAGAGAAACATCTTTACTTGCTTTTTTTCATGGTTTATTTAGCTCAGAAATTTTGTTTTGTAATTATAAAAAATTACCTAGGGAGAAAAAAGTTAAGCACCCTACAGACTCAGACTTCTATCTAGTTCAAGGAGAAAAAAATAGAAGCTAAATCATTAGCAATGAGATCTTCGAAAGTCATTTTTTCTTTTTTAAAAATGAATAGACTTTTTTTTAAAAGATGGTTTTAGATGTATAGAAATATTCAGAAGGAGCTGGGCTCGGTGGCTCAGGCTGTAATCCCGTGCCTTGGGAGGCTGAGGTGAGTGGATTGTCTGAGTCTGCAGGTTCGAGACCCACCTGGGCAATTTGGCGAGACCTCATCTCTACAATAAATAAAAAAATTAGCCAGGTGTGGTAGCGCGTGCCTGTATTTCCAGCTACTTGGAAGGTTGAGACGGAGCCCAGCAGGTCGAGTTTGCAGTGGCCGGGAGCAGACACTGCACTCCAGTCTGGGCGACAGAGTAAGACTCCAACTCAAAAAAAAAAAAAAAGAAATATTCAGAAGGTACG